GGAATTTCTTAATAAATATTTCAATTAAACCTTAAAGCCGTAACGGCAATCCGTTCTGTTTGGTTACGAGTAGAAAAAAATAAGATAAATTTTTAAAAAGAAGGAATAAAAAATTTACTTTTTCATCCTCGGATAGACGAGCACAATTAAAATAGTGGATGCAATTTATTTCAATTGAAGATATCGTATTAAAGATTACATTGTGCGAGAACATTGGAGAGAGAATAATTTATCAACAACTTCAAACAGATAAATACAGTGAATATATTTAATGCATTCTCAACAAGAAATTAAATTCCTACCCAACAGAATTTATATATATAAAGGAAAGAATAGATTACGAAGGGTATTATGAATTTTAATGATCCGTACGGATAGGATTTGTTGATACTTTCGCTCGAATTAAGGAGGATTAAGTTACAAAATCTCTTTCTTTCCTATCCTATTTGAAATTTCTTAACCGTCTTCGTGTTAAAATTCATTTTAACTAAATCGAAACTCGCCTTTAGGCTACTAAATACAGAGGAATCTAATTTTAAATAATAACTTAATAATGAAATGCGTAACCTGCTTACAAATTATTTGCAATTTAATTAAATTCATTTTTTCATCTTCTAATGTTTAAAAAATATTCTTACTGTTATAACATAATTTAATAATTTTATTTTTTGGTGCCGCTACAGAAATTTATTAGCCCGTTTTCGTCTTACAGATTTTTGTATTTTCCGTGTGGATATTTAAATAAATTTCAATAATCTTATATTAAAACGGCATATAAAATGCTACAGTATTAAACTGCGGTGCTTAAAACTAAAGTTAAAAGTGGGACTTGACTTTTAATCACAGTCGTAAACTTAAAAACTTATGACTCGTACGGAAGTTTATGATAGAAACTCGGTAAAATCCGGGCATTAAGGAAATTTGACAGTTTGTTTCTTAGTTTGTGGCCATTCTCGGCCTAATTTTTCAATTTTTATTTCGGGAGAAACTGCGCCAATCTATATTTTTTTTTTTTTAGTTTCATTTCTACTCGCAAGAGGGAAGCACAACAGAAAGAGCTAAATCTTATTGTCTGTTTCTGTATGCAAAGTTCTATGGCTGGCGTTGTAAAATAATTAGATATTGTGGTTTGCCTCTCATAAATGGGATTTATGAAATTGAATAAAAATTATGAAATAAATATAAAGTTTATATCATCGGTGCATTAAACATTAGACTTTCTATTTAAAAAAAGAACAAAAAAGTTATTGATTTTTTGAAATCCACATTAATTTAAATGGATCTATAAGACTACTGCGATGCAAGATTATAACCTGCTAGAAAACTTAATCCCTGGCTACATTGCTGACTCGTTATCCTATATTAATTATATTATGTCACGTAAAATGCATTTTATAGACAGAGAATTGTTTCTTTTACTTGTTCTGACTTAAATGCTAGCGGCGTGTTTTATTACTATTTCTTAGATTAACTGAATAATTCCTATATCAATGCCATCTGCTATATTCCACGTTTGAATTTCCACAGAATATAACTTGTGGTTCGATTCACAATACTTTTTTATTTTACATAAAAGCAGTCATTTCGAAATAAGGATAAAGTTATATATGAAAAATCTGAGATATTCTAACGGAATTGTATTTCAGTCTAGAAAATTAACATGTTAGATACAGCTGCCGATCGTCTCCGACATCGAGAAAGGTCCTAATCACCTTTCTGGGCGTCAATATATTAAAAATAATTTTTAAATTATAAAATTTGAAAAAATAAAGCATTTTGTTAAATATACAAGAAATGGTTTGTAATAAGGTCGTGACTAAATCGCTATGGCCTTATTGCAAACTATTTCTTGTATACGAAGAGATGGGCCGTAACAAATCTATGGGGATGAAATATTTTTGAGACCACAACCAACTATATGATGGGGCTGGATGGGACGAACATAACAAGGAATTTAGTTGCTTTATCTGCATTAAAACTGACCAGAATTTTCTAAGAAAAACGTTCCTTTAATGAGCCGAACAATCCATCAACAGGATGGAACTCAACGTGTTAAATGAGCTTCGTCGCTGTTATTTGAATAATTTTTGAAACTTTCCGAATTTTAAAAATGAAATTGCAAATTCATAATACATGAATTATTAAAATCCTATTCAAAAGTCTACTGACACAAAACTGAAAGTAAATCATTAATAAAACTCTGATTTCTTTCGACCGACTTAATGAAAGAACTAAACAAAAAAACCTTAAATCCTGATTTAAAAAAGGTCTCGTAACTCGAATTAAATTAAAATCTCGGGATTTATTTTTACAAGTATTATTATTTATTCATGAAGAAACGATTGATCGAAAAACTGAATCTAATTTTGTTCAAAATGTATCGACACACGTGGTGATGAAAACCGGAATAATATATTCGTTCGTCCCTCGATCACGTGAATCGCTCTCGAATTTACATAATTAATCGTTTAAGCAAGGAGGGAAAAAAATAGAATTTCCCCTCCATTAAGTTTAATAGCGATGAGTTGCTACTAATGTAATAATGTATAAACAAAATAAATTATAAATAATGCCGACTGATTAATCTAATGCCGTTGCTAGATTGTCCAACTCGCGCATAATGACTGTAGACAAACTTTGCTTATTTTTCTATCCGTTCGAAAGCAGATGGAAACCATTATTTTACATACGATAAATTTATATAGCGGGAAATAATTCTAATATATTTTATACTGTCCAAATCATTCATACCTTTTCAGGGTAGAAATTATTATACTTACGAAGCAGCGTGGAGTATGTAAATAGCGAAGATCACACCACATATCGACGTTCATACCGACATTTTTTGAGGATTTTTCTTTGTTTTTATATAACAAAATTATAAAAATTTATTTGAAAATTTCTCAGCAACTTGGTCTACATCGTCTCAATACGATTTTAAAAAATGAGACATTAGAAAGATCTATAATATTTCCAAAACTGATGAAAAGGCCTTTCCCATTTTCGTAGAATCGATGTTAAAGACGTATTAAACAACCTAAACTAAGATCACTTTTACAATTTAATGATTGATTATCATTTTATTTTTGTCCTTTATGAGAGAATTATCGATTATTATGACACGTATCGATCGAGTTCCACCAAATTTGGCACGAAAACCAATTATCGTATAAGAAAAGTTACGAGGCAACCCTCTAACGGTTTCGGCACTCATTTTAAAAAATATTGCCACAAAAACAAGTTTCATTTCAAACTAATACTGATAAAATTCTATAAATGAAAACTTTTTACTTATTAAATATCATTCGATGCACAATAGGCTATATAAATTAATTTAACTAACTGTAAATATTTAAACAGAAAAGGATAATTATGTAAGAATTAAACATTGACTTTNACTTTTTTTTTGCTTTAATTGTAGTTTTAATCATTACAAACATTTTATTTGTTCAAAAAATTAATGGTTAAAGGGGCTGCTCTAACTTCAAACCCAATACAAGCTTTAAAGGCCCAGCTGTAATGCAAATTCATATTCCAATACAATATTGTAGCGAACACCAAAACTTAACTGACAAGGAGAAGACCAAAACGTTCGGGTCTCTAATTAAAACGGAACTTAATGAGCAGGTAGCCATAAACACAAACATCTCCTTGGTCAAATAATAAGACCCATTTTTCGAGAGTAGTCAAAACACGGGTCTATATAAATTGAGTGTTTAGCTTATATGCATGGAAGTTGAAAACTTTCTTTTATTTAACTGTCATGACACATTACATATAACTCAAACAAAGCGCACCGAGTAGTAGAACTACTGCATATGTTTATTGTATATGTAAATTTACATCTGTATTTTTATTTGTAATAAAAAATTAGATATTGCCAAAATAAAAGATCCAGCAACGAGTTGCATAATTTTCTTAGCTGTTATGAGATTTTATTTAAAAAAACAACTATATTCTTAATTATAATGAATAAAATAGCAAAAAGCGTACTTTTGAAGGTAGTAATATTTATACATACAGTAATTTTATAATAAATTGTAAATGCTAATAACTAGTAAAATCTTCATTAAGTCCGACCCTATTGGAGATACACACGATTCCCGTTACCGCCCCATTCCTCGACCTTTAACCACCAAAATTTAATAGCATCAATCCCTTAATACAGAAATCTTCATGCAAAATTTCAGGAAATTTCGACAAAAAGCACAGGAGTTATTATTACGCTTTAAAGAGAGTGAACATAACTCGTACTCCCCATACAAACACCCATACATTCAGAAATTACCCCCGAATTTTTACTTTTTAGTACTGTATTTCTCGACGTTTCGTGGTCCCGAGTCCAAAACAAATTTTGGGGTGATTTTTTGCCCGATCACCATACTTTCCCTTTTCCTCTGTTACATATAACAGAGGAGAGAATAATATAATAAAGTCACCTAATAGGTTTACAGTGCTATAAATTAATTATCTAATAAAACTAATAAGAAAATTTAAATAAAAGTTTAATGCGCATCTAAATGCATTTCAATGTATTCTGAAGGTGATGTGTTAATTTATTCTTTTACAGCTAATTTTCTGATTATTATTCAAAAATATGTCATCTGTATCAAATTACTACTTATATTTTTGAATTTTAAAAAATCTTATTTTATATTCAATGTTTCTAATTAATTTTTAGAACCTTAGAAAATTATGTTTATTTACTTAGTTAATTGACAATCACTTAAAAATTATTACGCTACCTTACTTTATTATTATTTTTTACTTCTTATAAGCAATATATTTCATAATAAATATATTCTGCAGAGTCCACAACCTTTTCACTTTCTTTCAGATGTAATAATCTACAAATATCATAATAAAAATTTTTTTAAATAATCACAAACTTTAGGTATGGATTATCAAAAAGCATTTTTTTATTTTTTTAAATTTACATTTCAAATTTTACACAGAAAAATGCACTATTTTTATTAAATAATTTTCAAAAAATTTATATTTACAAGTAATTTTATCAAAATTTATATACATTATTACTTTAATTACTTGTAATATAAAATAATTTACATTTATTATATAGAAGAAAATTAAATTTCATTCTTTGGTTCAAACTGGTTGATTGATTTCTGTGATAACAAGTCTTGTAAAGTCTGGATGCGAGCATCTATGTCTGAAATTCCCCAATTCTGCAAAAATACAAAATAATTTCACTGTTTACAATATTAAATTTCCTAATTTGATATATTTTTATTTTAAAAACTAATGTATAATTTATATAAATATAATACTTTGTACAATTTCCAACTACCTAAGAAATTACGTTCAATCCAAATGCATATAATGTACGTAAATATAAATTTACTTCCTGGAAATATTAATATCTTTTGAAAAGGTACAATAAGTAATAATTTCATTATTGGAAACTAGAAATTAAAAACAATTTCATCGCAAAATGTATTAAGCAAAATTAATTACAGTAAAACAATAAATATGCAAGCTTAATTAAATGTATGCATATTTTTTTCCCCTTCACTGTTATAATTTAATTTTCATTAATATTTTAATGTGTTTTAATTAATATTTCATTACCAGTTCTAATTTTATGTTTTCACAAATTGAATTATTATTTTAAATAAAATTTAATGCATGTAGGATGGTCTCTTTTCTTCACTTTTTTTGGGTCAAAGTGACAGATTTGCATGCAAGTTAGAGAATATCATGACAAATTAATAAACTTTATAGGTTATTATTTTCCATATTTTATATTAATTTTCATTATATTATGTAATTTGTATTACAAATGAAATACTGATTATAAAAATACATTAATATATTAATACTATAGTAGTCTCATTAATGGTTAACTTCAAAATATTAACAAAAGTCTGCTTTATTATGGCTCACATACTGTATATTAACTAATAGTTTCTCAAGTGCTTTCAAGCAACCAAGCTAAAAGTGCTTGAGAAACTGTTACTTATTATAAGCAAGCTTCAGTAAAGCAGACTTTGGTTATCAATTTAAGAAATTCAAGTTACACTCATTGTTTAACTTCAAAATATAATTCATTACAAATCAACTAATTAAAAAAACCATCTATTCTAAATTTTTGTCTGGCTTTTCCTTTTTAACTAATTTTCATTTTATAGTCAAAGTGCCAGTTTTGATAAATTTCTTTCATCATTCATCCATTGGTATCATTATTCAAGTAACCTTGTGTCATGGTTTTAAATATCTACATTATATATATTATTAAACAGATTTTTTAATAAGTTTGAATTTAGAATATTCTTAATAACCATCATTTATCATATTTTCTAGAATAATAAAAAAATAATCTTTGTATTTGATGTAATAATCATTTCTTAGAGATTGTACTGATTTCTGTAAATTTTAATTAGCGCGCACACGTTTTTTTTTTTTATTTTCTTTAAATGATGACAGTAAATAGAGTTTTACATTTTATTATTTTAACAATGTTCCTATTTGAGAAATCTTTAAAATCTTTAGCAAGATTTGTAGAATCTATATTTTCAAAATTGTAACAGACAGATAAATTGATTTTAAATACATCATCCAAATTATATAAAAAGAAAAACATCAAATTAAACATGTATTATCTCTTAATTCAATATTGAAATAATTACTTATTGAATTATAGATAATTTAAGTTAACAATATTTAAACAACAATAAGTAAACTTGAATGCAAGTAAATTTTCTATAATATTTAGTGAAGAACTTTTAAAATTCTTTTTGTCCCGTGGGCACTAAGAGAACTTTTTTTAGCAAGTCCGTTACGGGTTCGACCAGACCGCGGAGTGGTCGGGTGGCAAGGGACAGGACCGACGTATCCGGATAGATCGCCGGAAAATTCTCGGGCGTTTCTCGACCGGTCCACGTTCGATCCCGATTCCCAGAGTTATAGGGCGTCACCTTAGCCGCTCGGTCGTCGGGCCATTTATTAAAGGGTGAAATTATATTAGTGTAGTTATAGAGATAACATTCATTTTAAAATTTTAGCATTCAGTAATTATTACTTAATAATAAATTACTTGAATGTAAACAGTTGTTTCTTAATGCAAAAAGGCTACACATAATAATAAACTATAAAAAACATTTTTTATTTATATTTATATATATTTTAGGCTT